GGTAAAAATAAGAATGACATCAAAACTTATTCTTAGAATTTTTGCAAGAAATAGAGAATGAAGTGAAACATTTAAAGTTACAAGAGAAATAACAACAAAACAAAAATACAATTTTTTATCCTGTAAAATAATCTTATGAAGGAGAAATACTTTCTTGGACTAAAATGGAGAGAATTTGTCGACAGTAGAACTATCAGGCAAGAAAATGTTTAAACAAGTGTTTGAGAAAGGGAGAATGATATAGGTCAAAAGCTTGGTTTTACATAAAGAAGAGAATTAGAGAAAGAATAAGTAAAGAAAATTTTCTTTTTTGAGCTCGTATTTGAATAGATAAAAGTTTGTTCAGGATAACAATAGCAATAGTGTGTTTGTTGACTGCTGTTTACAGATAATCATACAGACCTGGGAAGCAAAATAGTGGTATTAAAAAACAGAGTAAGATTAGTCATAAATGTATGTTGAAAGCTCGAGGGCAACCAATTTAAAAAAGCAAATAAAAATAAATAAATAAGAAATACAATTGATATGCTAAAAAAAGGACAAAGCACAAAATTATCAAAATTGTAAGAGGCAAAAAAATGGTAGACAGCAGAATGAACAAGAACAATCAGTAAAACCAGTAAAGAACATGGTACATATTAATTCAACAATATCAAAAATCACTTTAAATATCATTGGTTTAAATATACCAACTTAAAATAGATTAGATCAAAAGAGCCAACTATATGTTTTCTACAGTAAATTCTTTTTAAATATAAAGACATTTACACTCAATGTAATGGAGACAAGAAGAATATATCATGACAACATTAATCAAAATTTTAGGGCAGATTTCAAAGTAATGCAGTTATCAGATTTAACAAGGAGTATTTAATAGTAATATAAATATAATAAAAAACCAATCCTCCAAGAAGATATGACAGTCCACAGTGTGTATGAAGTTAGAAACAGAGGCAAAACCTGACAGAACTCCCAGGAGAAACAGAAAAATCTGCTATCACAGTAAGAAACTCCAACACCTGCTGTCAACAGGGAGCAGAGCCAGCAGGCAGTAAAGATTGAGGTGAACTCAGTAAACCATCAGTCAACTGCACCTAAGTGATATTTATAAAACATTTCTTCCAACAGAGAAAAATACAGTACCTATTCTTCTCAAACTCACATGGAATATTTTCCAGGAAAGACCACATTTTGGGCCACAAAACAAATCTAAACCTATTTAAAGAACAGAAACCATCTACTCTCATTCATATTGAAAGTAAAATAGAAATTAATAACAAAACACTTGGGAAATTAAGCACTGCATTTGTGAATAACACGTGAGTTCAGGGAGAAATTTTAAAGGAAAAGGAAAATAAAATTTATCAAGGTTTGTGTGATACAGTAGAAGCAGTGCTTGGACAGACAGAAATTTATAGCATTGGATGCATACACTGGGAAAGAAGAAAGTTCTAAAATCAGTAATTTACCTTAGGAGATCTAAAAAAGAAGAGGCCAATTTAAAGCAGAAAAAATAATGAAAAATTGAGAATAAACCAACAAAAGGAAATCAGTAGAGATAACAAATTCAAAAGCTCATTCTTTGAAAAGATCAATGAAGCTTTTTGCAAGAATAACTAAGAAAAAGAGGAGAAGATATACATTACTATATCCTAAATGAAAGGGGGATATTACTACAGAAATTATGGACATACAAGCATTAAAGGGACACTCCCAGAACATTTTTGAATAAGGTTATGCCTACAAATTTGGTAAGCTAGATGAAATTTATCAATTTTTTTTGTCTTTTTCATTTTTATCGGTACCAGGGATCGAACTCACGACTGCCTGCTTGCAAGGCAGGCACTTATGCCGCTGAGCTAAACCCTTGGCCCCCAATTTCTTGAAAAAGAAAATCTGCTAAGATTCATAATAGAATAGATAACCTGAGCGTGCCTACATTTATTAAACATGTAATCAATAATTAAGAGCTATCTGAAACACCCGGGGTTGTAGCTCAGTAGTAAGTGCATAGTTAGTATGCATATGACTCTGTGTTAAATGCCCAGCACTAAAACAAACAAAACAAACCACAGAAAACCTTTCAAAACAGAAAAGTCCAAACCCAGATAGCTTTGTTGAATTCTACCAGATTCTAGGTAGAAATTATACCGATTCTCTGTAATTTTTTCCAGAAGACAAAAGCACAGGGAATACTTCCTGCCTCATTCACTAAGACCAACAGTAAATACCAACATCAGATAAGACAGTAAAGAAAAGAAATATATACATCAGTAACTCTCAGGCAGACAGATACAAAAAAAAATCTTCCAACAAAATATTAAGAAATCCATTGTGACAGCATAAAAACAATCATACACCACAACCAACTGGGATTTATCTCAGTTATATTAGGCTGATTCAGCATTCAAAAATCACTTAATGTAATTCTACCACACTGGCAAGCTAAAGAAGAAAAATCACATGATCAGATCAATAAATGTAGAATGAGCATTTGACAAAATTCAATACTCATGATAAAACCAGAAATAGAGGATTTATTTGCTTGTTGCAAAAAAAAAAAAATATATGACCAAAATCTTATAGCTAACACCACATTTAATGGTGAGAAATCAGAAACTTTTCCACTAGGGTTAGGAAGACAAAGACATTTCCTCTTGCTACTCATTTTCAACATTATACTGGAAATATTAGCTATGCAATAATAGATACACAGATTTGGAAGAAACAAAACATTATTTATTGATAATGAGAGTATACAGAAAATCCAAATTCCCTGAACAAGTTTTAGTATAAGTAATTAAGGTTGGAAGATATGAGGTGAATTATACAAATGTCCTTACTTTCTGATATACTAGCAACAATTAGAATTTGAAATTTAAACATCCACAATGAAATGTTCATGCATAAATCTAACAAAGTATGTCTAAGATGGTCTAAGGAAAATTTAAAAGCTCTAATCCAATAATAACATAAATGGAGAGATAATCCATTTTCAGAGGTAGGAAGCTCTAAGTGACAATATGCTGATTTTTCCAAACTTAATCTGTAGATTCAATGTACTCCCAATGCAAACTGCAACAAGCTATTACAGACACTGCGAGACTTTAATATTTAAATGGAGAGGCAAAAAAACCCAGAGGGCCAACCTAATACTGAGGGAGAACAAATTAGAAGAATAAAGGTACTTGATTTAAACAATTATTAATTTAGTGTACTAATCAAAATAATGCAGTATTTGTGAAAGAATATACAGGTCAAAATAACAGAGAGCTCAGAAATAACACACAGTAACATACTCAACTGACCTTTGGCCAGGTAGCAAAGGACATACAATGGAGGAAAAACAACTTTTTCAGTAAGTGGTGCTGTAACAGGACACCCTTGTGCAAACAACAACAACAAAAATAAAAACTCACAGACAGATTTTATATGCTTCAGAAAAACTCCAAAACACTGAAAACCGCAAAAGCTTGAATGAGATGCAAAGCAACAGGAACTTTCATTCATTGTTGATGAAAATGAAAAATGTTATAGCTACTTTGGAAGACAGTTCAGCAGGTGTGTTTGTTGTTTCAGTACTAAGGACTGAAGCCAGGGACTCACACATGCCAAACAAGCCTTCTACTATTTAGCTTCATCTTCAGCTGGACAGTCTCTTATACAACTAAACATGCATATCACATGAGCCAGCAATAGCATCCTTGAGAGTCATACAAATGAACTGAGAACTATGTCCACATACAAGGCTGCACACAGATGTTTACAGTAATTTTATTCATAACTGTCAAAACTTGGAAGCAACCTAACTGTCCTTGAGTAGGTGAATGGATCAATAAACAGTGTTACATCCAGACAAAGGAACATTATTTAATGCTAAAAATAAATGAGCTATGAAAAGCTACAAAAATGCATGGAGGAAGGTTAAATGCATATTACTAAGTGAAAGAAATTGATTGAAAGGCCACACGTTGTTTGACCATGTAACATTCTAGAGAGGTCAGAATTGTGGAAATAATCATGGATATGTGGTTTCCAGGGATTTGGAAGGGGACAGTGAAAGAATTTTTAGAGGAAACTATTCTGTGTATTACAATGACAGGCACAAGTCATTAAACATTCATCAAACCCTGTAGAATGTCCACTACCAAGAGTGAACTCAGCTATGGAGTCAGGGTGGTGGGTAACAACGTGCTAGCCCAAGTTCACCAAAGTAACAAATGTGCTCTCTGATGTGGGATGTTAGTAAAGAGGTTGTGATGGTGGGATCAGTTTCTGGAAACTTCTCTGACATTTTCCATCCAATTTTTCTGTGAACCTAAAACTGCTCATAACATCTGTTGTAAGCCTTGTTTGAGTGGTGGGCAGGCCAACACCTTGGACAGACTGAGGCAGGAGGATCACAAATTCAAGTCCAACTCGGTGAGAATGACTCGTTCTCAAAAAGCCAAAGCAAAACAAAGCAACAACAGTGAACCACACAACAAAACAAAGCAAAATAAACTCAGCTTAAAGATCCTGGGTTTAGTCTTCAGGATGGAGGGTTGTGTACAAAACCAAAAAGTTTAGCAAAAAGGAGGTGAAATGGACAGTAAAGATTAAGTTTCTAATAAAAAAACACCCTTGCTTTAGTGAATACTTTTTTTTTTCCAAAGGACAAATTCTATTTTGAAACAGAAATATACAGCAATGAAGTCCACAAGAAAACTTCTGTTGACTAAGTTCTATGGACACAAGCGAATCTAACAGAGAACATGAAAAGTTTTGGATCAAATTTTTTTTGTTTCCTTTTTGTTGTTGCTGCGGGGTTGTTCTAGTTTTGTAAATGAAGAAGGCCAGTGGAGGGTACTGCTTGAAGATGTACGTTTAGATGAGACTTCTTTTTTAATGAGAGAAACATCTTTTCAAGTGGAGTTCATTTCCTCACTGGTGCTAAGAGGAGGAGGGCGAGGTGTTCTTTCAGAGGAGTTGTGTGGAAGCTCTGGCATGGCAAGGGGTGAGGCTGTTCGCTGATGACTGTATGACACACCAAGAGTCTATTGCCCAGCGAGGCTGCGGTGAACCAGCTTCAGGGCACCGAAGACGCAGGGAAAGGCGCCTAGATGGAGGTCTGGCCGCTCGGGCCATGGTTGTGGGGATGCTGCAGCTGTCTGCGATGGTGACGGTGTTCCAGTGACCCCCCAGCGTGCTGGGGAGGGTAGGGGCGCGACGCCCGCTGTCGCTCTGGGTTGCTCACCCTGCGGATGGGGCCCAGCGCGGGCTCGCGGCCTGCCCTGGGGGTCGCCCCACCGCTGAACTCCTCGTGGCGCCTGGAGTAGTCGCTGCCGCTGGAGTGACGCCTTGCAGGCGGGGCGGAGGGAGGACGCGCGCCGTCCAGATCCTGGGGACTGAGCTCCAGAGGGCGCCTCGGGCTGCGGCGGCGCGCGGGAGGCGACGGGCGCCCGCGGGCGGCCAAGCCGCGCGGGTCCCCTTGGCCGTCGTGGTCGTGGCGGTGGGGCTGCCTCCTGCTCTCCGCAGCGTGGCGTCGGTGCGCGGGGACGCGCCGGCCTCCGGGGGCGGCAGCAGCGCCCTCGCCATCGTCCTCCTGGCCCGGAAGGTTCACGCCCCAGGCATCCGCCACGTGCGCCAGCAGCAGCTGCGACAGCCGCCGGTGCGCGCGCTCGTCCCAGTGCACGCCGTCGCGCAGCTGGTGCCGGCCCGCGTGGCGGAAGTGGAAGTGCAGGTCGAGCAGGTCGAAGCCGCGGCGGGCCGCCTCCACGGCGCTGTAGAAGTTGGCCTCGATGACGTCGTCGCGCAGGCGGCCCGGGACGGCCAGGGCCCGCTGCGGGAGGAAGCCGCCCGACACGACGTCGGCCACCGGCAGGGCGGTGTTCCACACCAGCAGGCAGGACTCGGGCAGCATGCGGTCCATGCGGCGGAACAGGCACGCTAGGTCCTCGCGGTACCGGCTGTGGAAGTGGCGGCCGTGCCTCGCCAGGTCCCAGAGGCACGAGTTGAGGACGACCAGGTCCGGCGCGTACTGGTCCCAGCGCAGCGCCCACAGCACCTCCTCCAGGTAGGCCGAATAGGCGCGCGTGAGGAAGTAGAAGCGCACCAGGTGGTGGCCGGTGCAGAACTGGCGCACCTCGCGGTAGTAGATGTCATTGTGCATGCGGCCCCACCTGCCGCCCTCGAGCAGCACATCTTGCTCGAAGCTCAGCTCGCCCTTGGTGTTGAGCTGGCGGGAGGACAGCAGGCTGTCCCTCTGCAGCAGCAGCACCAGGTCCTTGTACACGGCGCGCTGGATCGAGTCGCCCATGATCACCACGAACTTGTTGTGGAGCAGTTGGCGGACTTGGCAGGTCCGCAGGTGGGTCATACCGAAGGGCCTGGGTCTTACTTTTCCGGGCTGGAGCGGCTGCGGGCCGAAGCTCAAGGGCGGGACGGGCGCGCAGGGATCCTTCCTGCCGGGGGTGGGAGCAGCAGGGAAGTGGGGTAGGTGCTCCTTGGCCGGGCGCACGTCCCCAGGACGGCACCCCCGTTCCGCTGAGGCTCCTGCACCAGCCCGGGCTCCACCTGGCGGAGTGGAGGTGCGGAGGCCCCAGCAGGGTGACCCCTTCTGAGGAGGGAGGGTCTTACTTCTGGGTGGGGACTTGTGCACCCCCTTTCCATAGCTTCACACTAACGGGGGTGGGGGTGGGGTGGGGTCGCTGCCCCGTCTGGAGCCCCGTGGTTGCTTCCCACGCTTCCTGTTGGCCTCCAGTCTTTAGCTGAGCATTTCTTGTTTGTTCTTGCTTCTCCTCTGCCCACTGCTGTATCCATGACCACATTGTGGTAGAATGCCATTCCCCGGGGAAGAACTTCGCCTGGCACTGCCATGGCCAGGTTTCCAAGAAGTGTTGGGCCTAATACGTGCGTCGTGTGTAAATACTACAGGGCTGGTAAAAATGCAGAGAACCTGCAGTCTCTCTCTCTCTCTCTCTCTCTCTCTCTCTCTCTCTCTCTCTCTCTCTCTGTGTGTGTGTGTGTGTGTGTGTGTGTGTGTGTGTGTGTGTATCCACTTTCCCCCATGGGTGATGTCACTTTGTAAACCATTCTGTGCCACTTGGTGTCCTGAACCAATAAGCTACTTCCCTCCCGCCAGGGTCATGCTCACTGACTTTTGTGATCTTGACAACTTCTTCCTGTTCCATTATCCCGATGTCTGGGGACCACAAAACTACCCCCTATTGACACAAATTTGGCATGTTAAGAATTCAGTATAGGTGGAAGTGTATTGCATGTAATCTTGGGGGAGTGGTGGCTTTTTTTTCAGCATTGCACCCTACAGAGTCATCCAGCAAGTCAACTTTGTAAACGCTCGTCACCATTTCCGGTGTCAGGAAGTCTGTTCGGGTGGTGTGGATGGAATACTTTGTTCCTTTTTTCTTACTTCTTCAGTGTGGGACGTGTACCACCAGTGCTATATCCCGTCATTCAGTCAAAGAACGGTGGGGTTGTTTGTCATTATTGGCTGTTATAAATCATGGTGCTGCTGGCATTTCTGTACAGGTTTTTTTTTTTTTTCTTTTCTTCTTCTTCTTTTTTTTTTTCAATTCCCACTTGGTGAGGTTTGAACTCAGAGCCTTGTGCATGCTAGGCAAGACCTCTACCCCAGCCCTCTGTGTAGATTTTTGTGAAAACCTAGGTTCTCGTTTCTTTGTGCTAAGCTCAGAGTTGTGGTTGTAGGGTCCTAGGATGTTTGCACAGTTAGTGCTTAAGAAATGCCCAGACCCTTTTCCCGAATGGTTGCACTGTTTTACATTCTTAGCAGCAAAGCATGGGTAATAAGTTTCTTTCTGTCTGGGGTATATATATATGGATATCCTGTGTATGCATATCCTGGACTCCTTCAGCTCCATCCTCAAGCAAATCTACCCTTTGTATTTTTTTTTCTCCTATTTAGTGCCTGACAGGTACTGCTCCCATTCTTTAGAATTTGCCCTGTGTAACTTGGCTTAGCTCCTCCGCCATGAGGTTGTCTTAGGTTGGGCCTTTAGCAGTTGCTTGGCAAACTGGGAAGTGTGGTGCCTGGTCCATGTCTACAGGCCCGCAGAGGAGACATAGAGTTCAAGTGTTTAACTGGACAGGTATTGCTAGGTTTTTAAAATCTTTGGATCTAAAAATCTCTGCTCATCACCATTTGCTGTGTGTTCACGAAGGAGAGGAGTAAGAGGAAGAAGCCTGGCTGTTTCCAGCATAGCTTTGTAACTTGTCACTCTGCTGTTTTGCGAGGGCTCCTCTTGCTTTTGGCAGGTGTAATGTGTGAGAATGGAGATCTGAGGGTCTCTTGGACAGTTTTGGCCTCTTCTGTGTTCCCTATCTGCCTTCTCCAGTAATCAGATGTTTTCTATTTTTGTTTCTCTAGTATTTTCCTAAATTGTCATCAGAGTTTCTTTATTTTCCACTACCACAATTTTTGTGTTTAAAAATTTATTTTTTTCAGCGATTCAAAAATAACAAAAATATAACCTTGTTTTTGTGTCTCTGTTTTGAGCTGAATGTCACCCATTTAATTTTTTATTGTGGAAACAAATATATGATCTTATACGTTTCTTTTCACCTTGCTAAATGTTTTCTCTGAGATAAGTGTTGGTGGCCTGGGTACCAGGAAAGGTAAATGATTTCTAAGGCAGTTTTCACCTTATTACAGTATCTGCCTTTATGAATGTACGATTAGAAAGTTAAAATCATACCATGTGGCTGCACTATGTTAACAAATAATTATTTCTTATTCTAATAGTCTTTTCAAAGGACTTTCCAAAGGACCCTCCAAATATTCTCCTGTACTTCAGCTGTATGTCCTGGGACATGCATAGACACACACATACAGGCAAATAAACTTTCTTTTATATGAGAAATCCCAATACAAGTAATTTAAAGACCAAAATAAAGGAGAGATCGTAAGAAACAGGGTTTGAGGAGGCAGATTTTTTGGAGATGGGGAAGGGGATCTGGAGAACAGGGGTAGGAAAAAAAGGTTCAAGGGGGAAGGGAAATCAGAAATGATCAAGATACGATTATACAGATACACCAGTTTTCCAAAATGAGTGTAATTGCCTATGTATCACAAACATATGCTAATAAAAATAATCAACAACAGGAAAAGAAATAGTAAATAAACTTCATAAGCTACTTGCATTTTCATATAATTTGAGTCAATAATCCATTGTTTTAGCTTTCTCTTAGCTTTAAAGTTGGGGTTTAATCCTACTTTATTTGTTCGGCAGATTTGGTTAGATGTTAGCATCAAGATATCTTAATTCCTCCTATGCCATGAAATACAAATTTCTAATTGAATACTAAGGTTTAAATTTGTTCATTAAATGAAAAGCATGACATAGATGAAGGGAAGGTAAAAACTCTCTTGAGATAGGCAGGAGATATAGATAGATAAATATGTCCCCTTTACTTCAAAGAAATAATCTGAAATTATAAAATAAAACTGATTCCAGATATTGCTAAGCACTGAGTGGGGAGAGAAGTGTGCTGTATTTGAGAAGTATGAGGTCCGAATAAAATAATGTTAGACACATCTGCTTTCAAATTCTACTGTAATATTTTCACTAAATTCTTTGGATTTCAGAGTTGAGTTTATTCTTGATGTAAGAGTGAAGAAATAAATTATAGAGAGGGTAATTAATATAAGGATGAAAAATAAGGACCTGAGGAAAAGACCAGAATTCAAAATTTAGAGAAAGCTTTTCTGACCATCACTCCCTTTCCTTTTCCCTCTCTCCATACTCGGGCTCCATACTCTGCTTTATTTTTCTTTACATTCTTTATTAGTTACTTAATACTTAATTTTAATTACTTAATACTTAATGAGTCACTTAATATTTAAGCTCTATGAGAAAATGCCTTGCTTTTCTTATTGATATATCCACAGTTCTTAGCACGATGTTGGGTATGTAGCTGGTTCCCTATAAATGCTTGTAGAATGAAAGGTGAAGGAAACAAACTCATCCTTGGAAGAGATCTTTAGAAACTGTTCTAAAACTCATGGGATGCTTCAATTGACCAAATATTCTTCTTTCAGCCCATGTCTTTTTCTTCATTCCCATTTAGTTGGGGAGACTCCGCTTTCCATGGCAGTCTGTTTTGCTGTCAGAAAAGAGGACCATTATAAATCTCTCACTGATTGTTTTTTCCTTTCTTTCTTTTTTTTCTTTTTCTTTTCTTTTCTTTCTTTCTTTTTCTTTCTTTCTTTCTTTCTTTTTTTTTTTTTTTTTTTGTTTTGTGCTAGGAATCGAACTGATAACCTCACACTTGCCAGGCAGGCACTTATGCTGCTGAGCTAAATCCCTGTCCCTCTCCCTAATTTTTCTGAGGGCTCTGTTTTATTCCTTGAGATCGTAGAAGGCTGTGATAATTATTCTTCATCACAGTGGTTTTTCATAGGTGTGGATACAAGCCAAGTGTGGTGGCACACACATGTCATCCTGGTACTTAGGGAGGTTGGGGCAGGAGGATTGTAAGTTATAGCTCAGGCTAAGATGCTAAATTACCAACTTAGGGATGCCTAGTCTTAAATAAAAAACAAATGATTTAAAAAGGGCTGAAGATATAGCTCAGTGAAAAGGCCCTAGTTTCTGCCCTCTAGCACTGCAGTTTCTGTCTGTCTGTCTTTCTATCTCACTAGACCCTTGAGTGATCTTTTTTACACTGACCACATATCTGTTAATTTGTCATTTCTGTTCTGCTAGAACATGGCTGTATGTTCAAATAGGCAAAATGACAATAAAGGAGTTCCTTCAAAATGTCACTGTGGCCCGAACAGATTTCTTTGTACAGTAATAAAGTAGATCCTTCTAGAATCCCTTGAAAGGAAGAGGGGCATTATTTCACAGGTATTTACTTTATTGCCTTCCTCAGGTCCTCTGTCCTGGTGGAATCAGAGCCCCACACATGATGAGGAGCAGGAACTGTCTCATCTGCCCACATCTACATCTATCCTTGAGCACATTTGTGTCCCGTACTTTCATTTTTGATTGAGCAGTAATTTCAATATCTTCATTTTCAAGTTGCTATTTGCGTTGGTTCTTGCAAGCAGAACAACTTTTGTAGTTGTTCTTAATTTCTGAGTCTCTTCCCTATTTCTCATTACTTGTGTCAGAATGCATTACAGATCATATAAGGCATCTTAAAAAACCCATTTTTCCAGGGGTAGTTTGACCAACAAAATCCACATTTGGGTTATCCCTCCTTTGTTAAATTAATGCTACTTAAAACCTAATCTGCTTTTTTTGGAAAATCTACTACAATCATGACTCACAATTGACTATCTTCCACTAAACTTGTCTGAGTCATTTTAATACACAATAAATATTCTCTGCCCTAAACTTATGCCTCTGGCTTTTACATTTGAGAGCAAATATAAAGACTTATTACTGTAAGATTTATCCTATTGTTCGAGTTGGCCAAGATCTTTTTAGTCCATTGCTATCACTTGTCAAGATCATTTTGGAGTTAGCAGCTTATTCATGGTTACTTAACATCCTTCTCAGCAGTCTGCAAACCATGCCTGATAAGCATCTCATCTAATCTGCAAGTCCATAGTAAAAGTACTGAACTAGATAGGAATGACTGGTATGCGTACACATTCCTCCAGATTTGCACTTTCCCAGTTTTCAGGAGCTCTAGGATATAATTAACCTATTAGCAATCCACCTAATTTTCTTTGTTTTTCCATAATATTTTTTCCGTCTTATTCAACAGCAGCTCTCAATATAGTACTGGAAATCTTTCTAAAGTCTTTTAGAATGAGTTTACCAAATCTCATGAGTCTCGTAGCATAACCTTGCAAAAATATGAAGGATAATTTCCCTGTTTATCCCAGTCTGCTTTCTCCTCTGCTTTTATGTTCCTGGAAGCTGTCCTGGGTGCATTGTATGGATTCTATTGTTTTTTTTTTTTTTTTTTTTTTACAGTACTCGGGATTAAACTCATGACCTCACCCTTGCCAGGCAGGCACTTATGCCTGCTGAGCTAAATCCCCAGCTTGGATTCCACTATCTTAAACTGACAGGTGATTGCATGAGGGTAAAAAGAGAGATTTTGGTGTGTATTTTCCTAGATGTTTCTCTTCACAGCCACAGTCACAGATGATCACTAGTTTAGCATTAAGAGGCTCAGTTTTACCAATGGCTGAAATGGTGGTCGGATGGACTGTCCTTCAGCTGAAGAGACAGCTACAACTCTCCAGGTTTTCATACACATCTGCCTCTGGGCAGCTTCAGACCCACGGATCAGGACATTGCACCCTCCAAGATTGTGGAGCTCCATGACTGAATTAATATTCTGTGGTCTCTGTCTTGAAGTTCTTAACTGATATTTAACAAGGTGCCTGCAAGTTACATAGCTAGTCTTGCTGCAGGTGGTACCAGCTCCCACACCTGCTTCACTGACCCTTATGACACTCGTTTGTAGTGTGTGAGTGTGTCATCTGTTCCCTGCTATGACACTGACCAGTCTCCAAACAGCTGAGTTGAGTCAGGTTTGTTTTTGTGAGCCATCGTGGGCTTCTAGTGATCACTGCTTATTTATGTTCTCCAGTCCTATTCCTTTGTATGAAAATTTTTTAAAATGTCAGCCGAAATCAATGTAATGCTTACTCAACGCTAATTGCCCAGATCCATTTGATTCCATTTTCAAAATTGTAATATTTCCGGTAGTTTTTTTCTCTTTGCTCTTTGATAGCACCTCAAAGACCACTGATGTTTGGTTTAATGTCCCACTTTGAAGCTTCTTTAGATAGAATTTCAGGACCAGAAGTTTATGTGTCCTTCTCCAGCTAGAGCTCCACTTCCATTTTATCAATATGAGTGTGATTGAAAACTACTTGAAATGTTTAAAAATTTAAAAAAGGTATCATAGTAAAAGACACATTGCCCTTACTCTTCTTCAGAATAATCCCTTTGCTTTGAGCACACTTGGCCCATCATCCTTTCCGCTTTGAGAAGCAGTGCTGGAAAGTACTGTTTTGTGTCTTTACCCTGGCTTCCTTGATGTCCAAAGTTGGTTCACAATGTTTACCTTTTGGGGTCATTTAGATTTTAGGGCAGTTCCAGATCTTGCAAGGTCTCAGATGCTGCAAATAAGATGGATGAGAACATACTATTGTGTTTTTCACAAGCTACCTTTCCACTGGGTGGCACTTGTCAGCAGTACTCACTGTGTTTTTGATCACACCAAATAAAGACATGGAAGGTGATTTGCAGAATAGCTTCACCAGGTGTCAAAAATGAGGACAATGTGTCCAAAGTGAGGGGAGGGTATGATGAGAGGGATTAATGGCAAGGTGGCTTTAATGTCATATTTTTAAAATATTGAAACATTTACCACATTTTCCACTCTCCTGTATAGATTTTGCTTTTCAGTCCAACAAGAGATTTGCTATGTGTCATCTGCGAAGATAATATTGACATTAGAAAATACCGTCTTTACCTTCTTGTTTTGATTGAAAGTTCAGAGACTTTTCTTCCTTTAAAAAGCTACGTGTATTTGTTGCCACAGACTTCCTTAAACTATGAGTTCCATGTTATTCTCTATGTGTCTTTCCCTTTGTGGTTCCCCCATCTCATCTTTGTCCTTTGAGAGAATAAACATGTTAACATACACATTTCGAGACTTACCTCAGCCCCTCTCCCTTTAAGCTCTAAGAAGGAAATATTCTGTATTGTTCCTGCACATTTTTGGCTGGGCTTTTGCCATTCTGAATGGGGTCCTTAGAACAGAGAAAGAACAGATTGATTTTCAACAGAAAAGGCCTAAAAAAAAAAAGAAGTGATTATAAAGATTCAAGTTAGAGTTAAAAAGAAGAAAGGCTTTAATGAGCAGTTAGATGGAAGAATCCAGAAGGGTGGAAGGTGCTAGGAAGCAACTGCCACGAGGATGTTTGATGAGTGAAGAACAGGGTCACTTTGTTCTGCTGCACACGTCTGTTCAGGAGACTTCCGTGAAGATCCGAGTGACTTTTAGTGCTTTCCTTGTGATTACCATGTTGCGTTATCACTATGCTCAGGGCAGCTTCGAGCAGGGCTAGTGATGTTTGGGTTTTATATCTGCCCCTTCAAAATTCAAGCTCAGCGAACCTTTGTTCCTTTAAAATATCTGATCCTTTTTTTCATCTGTGGCTTCTTCATTTGCAGTTAAAATTACATTTGTGAAGTCATAAAGATATCTTCCATCGTAGTGTAACAATTTCTTAAGTTGTGGGGAAAAAATTAAATTGATCCTTTTTTTTTCTTTTTCCTAACATCTTTGTCAATATTTCTGCAGTCTTACTCCATGGAATAGTGTTCCTGACACATTCCATTTTATTTTATTTTTTTAATTTTTATTTAAAGAAAGATTAAACAAAACAGAAAATAGGTAGAAATAGTACATACGTTCAGAGAAAAAAAACAGTAAGAAATCACTAGTTGATGCTGTTATTTTACAAATAGTTGTTCAAGGTACAAAAATGGAACATGTAAAGTGGGAATTCAAACAGAGAGACTGCAAAAAGTTCTAATCAACTGTTCAACAAAAACTTAGTAACGTGGTTGTCAATCCTATACATTTAAACATACATGCAGTTATACATACCTTCATTTATGTTTAGATTAAATAAACTAAAGCAGGTTAAAATTATTCTGAACAAAGAATAATAGTATTGCTGGATTTCATATCATGACACTCCGTGATCAGCACTGGGTACTGTAGTGTCTTCTTTTTAAAACTGAATTTAAAGAAAGACTAAAAAAACAGAAAATGGGTAGAAATAATACATAATTTCAAAGAAAAAATAAATGGTAAGAAATCACTAGTTGATGATTACAGATTGTCTTCTTATAAATAGTTATTAAAGATACTAAAGTGGAGCATATAAAGTAGGGATTCAAACAGTGAGATTGCAACCAGTTCTATTCAACTATCCAATAAAAACTTAGAAGTATGGTTATCAATCCTATACACTTAAACATACATGCAGTTATCCATATCTTCAATTATGTTGACTTTGAATAAACCCAAGCAGGTTAATACCACTTTGAACAAAGAATAACACTATTTCTGGGTTTCACATTATGACACTCCAGGATCAGCACTGGGTATTTTAGTGTCTCCTTTTCTTCAAAGTATCTGTTCATTTCATTAATTGTCGTAAGATCAGTTCTCATAAACTGTTTATAGATTCTACACATGCATGAGTCTTAACATGTATTTTTTTTTAAATTTTGAAAGTAGTAAAAATGCAACAGCACAAGACAGAACAAAGCCAATTGAGACAATGCAGTGAAATTGATACAGGATTTCATAGTAGGATACTGGGATAGTAGTAATAAGTACTATGGTATATCTGTTTAACTTAACAATAGTTGTCGAGTCAATTACCTATTGTAAAATCAAACCAAAAATAGAGCATTGTAAAACCAATTGAGAATACTGAATAGAGCAAAAGAAGCATAACAAAACAGTGAAAATCTATGCCTTCAAACAGAAGATAGAAGGAAATACCCCATATTTGCTATACTGCATATGGTCATCCTCCCAAGATGTTGAAACGTCTATCCCCAGTAGCTAAGGGGGCAGGTGGGAGAAGGGTGCTTGATTTTCAGCTCGCGTGGCAGTAGGCTCACAGGTAATGGTTCTTCTCCACGCCCAAGCTGCAGGTCTTACCAAGAGGGCGGGTGAATAAGCTGCCTGAGTCCCTCTATGGCCGGGCTCTCCACATTCCATTTTCAGAAGAACAAAAACAATGATTAATGGTAAATGTTTAGGAAATGTTACTTATTATTGTCTTCATACAGTTTGTGTTGTCACAACATGATACCGATACCTGAGATTGGGTTATTATAAAGGGTAGAGAATTATTTCTTAAGTTGTGGAGGCAGGGGAGTCTAGGGTTGAGGGTCTGCATCTGTCCGGGACCTCTTGTTGTGTCATTCCATGGTGCAAAGGAAGAGGAGAGAGGGTGGATGAACTTCAGCCTGCAGCACTTTTACAGTCAGCATTAATCTTCATGACCAAAGCAGTCTCTCGAGGCTCTCACCTCCCTCACTCATCAGTGCTTTTGTGAGGACAGAATCAGTCACAACATTCTATTTCTGGCTCCCCAAATGTATGTCTTTGCATTACAGAACACTTTCATTCTACCCCAAAAGCCCCAAAGTCATAACTCCTTGTAGCACCAACTGGAGGGTCCAAAGACTCATCCAAGTCACGTATGTGTGTGACTCAAGACACAGTTGATTCTGAAGCAGATTTCTCTGGGCTTGGCACTTGTGAAATTTACAAGATAACAGGCCCACCAGAGAATACTGGGTTTAAGATTAAGATAAACATTCACAATCCAGAAAGGAGAATAGTCAAGAAGAAAAGAGGTAACTGGTCTCAAAAGTAAATCCAAAACCTAACAGAAAGTAGCATTCACTCTTCAGAATAACATACTTTGACTTTATGTCCTGTGTTTTGGACACACTGGAGTCGGAGTCCCAGGCCCTGTGGCTTCATAGACTATCTACTACCCTTCCCACTCCTGTGGTTTTGCATAGCTCAGTCTACCTAACAGCTCTTACAGGTTGGAATCTGTGCGTTCAGCTTTCTGCAGTTGGAATTACACGATGTGGCGCCACCATTCTGTGGTCTTGGGGCCTGCCCCACTTGGCACAGGTCCACTAGGCATCCCCCAGTGCAGATTCTCTGGGATGGTTTTGCTCTGGTCGCTCCCCTGGGCATTGTCATTGTACAGACTGTCTTTTGGGTTTGTGCCAGTGTGACAACATTTTGTGGGCCTCCAGAGTATTTGTGACGTCCTTTGAATTGGGAGCTGGCATGGTGCTGTAGCTCGTGGCATTTGGTGTGCCTGCCGCCTGTGGAATTAGCACCACATGGATGCTGCCGAGGTTTGTTGCTGTTAACTTTTGAGAGGCCCTTGAGCCACAGCTGGTAAGCGGAGGTGTACTTCATTGGAATTCGGCGTGCAGAAAGACTCCTGATGCAGTCCAGGACATAACAGCTGAGATCTCCTCCTCTCTTACATTTAAGGTCCTAGCTTACCTGGAGATTACTGAAGTGCTTTGTCCCACTGTTTTGATGAACACAATGTGGCCCTTCTCTATCCACATTAATCACTGTCACAGATGGTCACTTGTTCACTTCCACAGTATTCTCTTTTGAACATGCTTTATTTTTTATTTAAAAAAATTTTTAAAAAAGCAAAACAGAAAAAAGGATAGAAATGATACAGAATTTCAAAAAAAATAGCAGTAAGAAATTATCACTAGTTAATACATTATATGTTG